TAAAACATCGAGAACTATTTTGAATGTTTCTGGTTGTGTCAGGTCATCATGGAGTTTTATATCTCTGAGGCCCCTCTGCTGGCTTCCTAAAGTTAGTCTGAACTCTGAATCCTGCAAAGCTGCGATGAGATGTGGCTCAGACATTCATGAACAACTCGAAGTCAGTTCAAACCCAAAAGTTCAGTTTCTCTGCAGTGTGACAAAGAATCATCTTAAAACATGTTTAAGTTTCTACATAAAGTCAAATGAGTCGAAGACAAGCAGAAAAAAGTTTTACATCAAAATATAATCTGTAAATTTCAAAGTTATTTGGAAGATTTGATCATTTATAAGATTTATAACTGGATAGAAAACAGATGTTATTGGTTTTTGGGGCGAGCCGAACTGAAATGTAAGTTAGACATTTAAAGAAAAATAAAATAAGCACTCTGATATTTTTAACCTTCAGAGAAAAAAGAAGCTAAAAAGTATGAATCATCTTAACTTCTCAGTTTGTGTGATTCACAGTCACGCAGCGTTCTGGAAGTTTCTGAGGAGTCAGAAGATTCTCGCTCACAAAGATCAGAGTCATTCTTCTTTAACCGTCACGCTGCGGATGTTTTTACGTACTTGCACTGAACGACGTGTCCTTCGGGCCCGACGTCGAACACGGTAACTGTGTGACCAGCTGTGTGAGATCAGTGTGACGTGTTCGTGACTCAGTTTTCCTGCTCAGCTGTTCCCGTCTGTGCGTGTGCGGGTCAAGCGCCCTCAGCTCAGAGTAAACGGGCTCATTTTTTATTTGATTATGTTGAATTTTACAAATATCTTAAAATTAAGTCGAACTCATTTAATTTGATTTGCTACATAGTTTGATTTTATAACACAAAGTAAAAGATAACGTTACGCTCAGCTCAGCCTCTGTGTTGGTGTTTAACGTCAGTTTCTATGTGAAACCTGTTTCTCACTGAACACTGAGACACAAACCACGTCCACCTTTAAATCAACTGATAACTAAATGAGATATAAATCCTTATAGATCTGTAAGGCTGGGTCATCTTTTCCACAATAAATCAATAAATGGCCGAGAAATATTTTTGTCTTGTTTGCGTTTGTGTTGTTTTAAGAGACAAAGAGGAAAACGACCAAACAAATATTGATTCATTTTGGGGACTTTTGTGTTTGCAGATAATCACTGTTGTTTTTGATCATTATTACAAAAGCAGAGGTGGGCGTGGCTTACCTGCCGTAGGCGTAGTACAGGTAGGGAAAGAGTAAGACCCGACAACCGAAGAAGGTGAGCAGCATGACGACGCCGTTCACTTTGTGCAGCAGCGTGTGCTGCTTCTTATACTGACGACATCATCATCATCATCATCATCGTCATCATCGTCATGAAGAGAAAAGAGACAGAAAACAAATCATTCGTTTTAATAAATAATGACAGGAGACGTCAAACGTGCAGACGGAGCTGATTAGAGGTGGAAATGTTTCAGAGTTAAGTAATTATGTAACTGCTGATCTTAACATTCTGTATCTGGCTTTTATGAAACCAGTGAACTTTATTAAATGTGAGCTTTTTAAAGTCTATATGCACAGATGACAGAACACAAACGATTAGCACTGTGTGAGTAACCACAGTGTGTTTGTGTATTTTCACGGTGAATAAACTGATGTGTTGCACGTTAGTAGAATAAGTTGGTTTGCCAACAGCAGCGAGCTGGAAACGACAGGATTTACATTTTATATTAAAAAATGAAAATGTTTCAGTTTAAAGCTGCAGTTATTATTAAGACCTGAACTCTTTCATGCTTTTGTCATTTCTCTGTGATGTTTGGGCTGATTGGGACCTGATGATGTAAAAACAAAGAATTACCAGATTTTATTTTTTTACCTGATTTTTGTTTCTGAGAAAACTGAGATCCATGTATGAGGAGATTTGTTTTACATTTCGATAGAACGGTGGCAGCTTGATGTCCTCATATGTGGACGTCAGGCCCCAGGAGGTTAAAGTGAGACGACAGAATAAAAATGCTTTACTTTAAAAAAGAAAAGAGAAAAAAGACTATTTATCCCAAATCAATTTTAAATTATCCACAAGCGTGGAGAGAGTCCCAGTGAGCATGTGCAGAGAAAGCAGTGCTCAGCTTTTCCTGATATTAGAAATGATGGAGATTATAGATTATAGTTCCCCTCAGGTTTCCCCAGAATCAATCTAAACATCAGCACTCATGCTGCTGAGGGAGACGGTGGATGGAGGCGTATGGCTTTAAAAAAGCAGTCGATCAATTTAGTGTTTAGATTATTACACATTTGGTGTCAGGACAGAGATGATATAATCCAGAACAAACTCAAATGTGTTTCTGAAGTGGGACAGTGAGACGATACTCTACACATGCTCATGATTTTAACAGCCGTGCTGCAGAACAGAGAGAAATATAAAACATCCTCATCCTTGAACTTCAATACTTAGAAAACAAATACTTGGCTCAGCACTGTGAAGAACCAAACGGCGTTTATGGTCAGACTGTCAGGGTGAGGACGAGGCGCCGTCACGGCAACGCCCCCAGTTATAAACCGACACACTGACTGAGTGATGATTTGTAAAAGTCTGTCATTTAACTAAAACGTAGATTAATGAATCAATGAGTTAATTATTTAATGAATAAAAAATCAGCCTGGTTCTGTTTCCTTCCCAAAGTGCTGCTCATGGGGGTCATATGATTGTTGGGTCTTTACCCTGAAGCGCCCTGAGACGCTGCTGTTGTGATTTGGTGCTATATAAATTAAATTAAATTGAAATGAATAGTCGAGTGTAGACTGGCAACCTGTCCAGGGTGAACCCTGCCTCTACAAACAGCTGGGATAGGCTCAGCCCCCCCACGGCCCTGAGAACGACACGAGGATGGATGGTCCAGTGTGGAGGTAGAGAGACGAAAGAAAGAAGGAGAAATGGAAGGAGACCAAAAAGTGCTGAGAACAAGTGACTAAACTAAAGAAATGCTCAAGCAGCCACAGCTGATCACTCAAACACGAGCCACCAAGTTTTCACTCCTTCACATCTTCTAAAGGCAAAAAGGAGCCGGTTCATTTTCCACATCTTTCCTGCCCATTTCCTTTGGAAAGTTCTCCATGATGAACTCTGAATCTCCTTCTGGTTTCCTCTCTATGGGCTCACACTTGTTTTAAGTTTGTATCAGAGGTGACCCGCCCCTCAGCCTCGTCCTGTAGGAGCTGACTTTCCCTTCAGTGTCCGGCGCCGTGGCGTCAGTGTGTTTTGCGTGGACACCCTGATCTCTGACTCACCCTCCTGGGTCCTCATGTGCTCCTCTAATGAAAGCATCCGTGTTCGTGCTAGCGTTAGCCACTCGTGGTTTTAGAGCGAGGAGTTTTCTGATTTTCTCGACTGAGCATCGAGGTTTCACATCAAGCAGCAGCCTGCCATCAGTCTCAATGTGAACGTATCAAGTTGGAACGTTTGACCTCATGTGTTTTCTTAAATCAATCAGTGAATCTGTTTGATCTTCTTTATGGTAGTCCAGATCAATACTGAACACTGAATGAATTTAGGTATCTGACACACACACACACACACACACACACACACACACACACGTTTCATTCATTGACTTTCCTGGAGGAACCCACCCGAGGGATTAATAAAGTTCTAGCTCATATCTTAGTGAGGACATTTCATTGGCTAGCCGTGTACTCTAACCATCAAAGATGAAAGCCTAACCATAACTAGCTGTAACCCTGACACTAAAACCACATTTTGAGCATCAAAACCATCTTCAAACTTGTGGGGACCAAAACCAGTCCCCACAAGTATAGCAGACAACTCACAAAGATGTCTAAACATGCGCGCACACACACACACACACACACACACACACACACAAAAGGTTGGAGGGAGGTGGATTACCTGGATCAGGACTTTCCCCAGAGAGACGGACGGGGTGCTGAGCTCAGCCAGAAACAAGACGCCCTGGAAGTAATCACCTTTACCCTGCCTCCACAGCTGACACACACACAGGAAGGAGGAATTGTAATTTAATGTGCACATATTTTACTATAATAACAGACTGTACAAAGACGATGGATGCAGCCACCATGATGTCACCCTCAACACTGGAAACCCCACGGTGTTAGCATTTTGGAGGTGATCACATTTGGACCACAGGGTCTGAAGAGCGCTAAGTTAGCAGCTAATTCTAGCTAGCTTGGTTATCATAAACTGTATGGGAGCATCACACAGATATTTGCCAATAACAGTCAAGTTACATCCGAATAAAATCGTAGAATTCCACCTAAACTGGAGACAGTCTGTTAGTACAGCAGCCTCACAGCAGACGTATTCTCAGTCAGATCATTAAAAA